TGATTCCATGTCAGAGTAATTGAATGGCAAACAAACAATGGTAGACAATAATTGCACGCAATCAACTTTAGTCTGTTTCCATCTGATTCACAATGAACAATGAACATTTCTTTTCTTCTCAAGCCAACATTGGGTTATAAATGTTTTCGTCAATATTTGATGATATCCAGACTGTGAATGATTATCATCGTCAATCTGAATAGGCAAAACCTAAGAGATCAACCTGAAAAGCTGCAAATTGCGGTAAATTTATTTCAAGATCAATAAACAAGTTAAAACAATGACAAAATTGGGTTGACTTGAAAATTTTTGGGTTCAGTTTACCTACGAGTATTTGCTTTGCCTTTTGTTTTTCACTTGATTTGATTGTCGACCAAAAATCGTAATTTATATCCATTAAAAGGAAAAGTTGTCTGTTAATTTTACCTACAATACTGTTAACAAATTAGCTGATTAATGAAAACAAAAAGAGTAGACTTAATTGTCCTTGTTAATTAGGGTAACAGCAAAAAAGTAAAGCTTCAACTTTGGGTTAAAGCATCACAAGTGGCTTCAGCTATGCTTATACAGCCATGATAATTTGCTCCATTAACATTTGAAACTCACAATTAACAACAATTAAGCTTATCAAAAATGTTTGTTCTAAGGTATGAAGAGTAATGTTTGACAAATTTTTCAAATTGAACAGTTAGAATAGACAGACATCATTTTCAGACACATGCAGTTCAACTTCTTAAGAATGTTGGTGTTTAGTAAAAAGTCCATAGTACAATCTAATGTTTGGGGTAAGAATGATGATTTTAGGTTCTCTCATTCTGGAAATATTTAGGTTCAAAGATTTTAGACCAATGGCCAAAATCAAGAAAACCGTAGTTGATTTGAAGAAACAATTCAATCCATAATGTGAAGCAACAATTTTTATTGATAAACTATAAGTTTCAGCTCGATAACTCTTATGGTCAGAGAAAGCGATCTCTTTAATTGAAAATTGAACTTGATCTGTTTTACAGAAACAAAAAATGTTATTTCGCAAAATAAGATCATTTCCTAGTCGTCCATTAAAGGATGCACCAGTAAAATAAGTTTGATGAACAAACCTGCTTCCATAATTGCACAAAAGGCGATCGAAGTTTAAACTTTGACCGCGATTTTCTCAAAAACTGTCCATCTGATGAAGCATTTAACGGTACCAATGGACTCAATTTTTATGTCCCTACAAACAAATCTGAGTTTCAACTCTTTACTCAAATGATCGAGTCTCTGGCAGCATTCTTTGCATAAGATTTGCAAGTTTAACCAGAAAATTGCTTCATTTACCAGGATATGGGTTAATAGAAGTTTGTTTTGTTTGATAAGTTGTTACTTGTGCATCTACAGCCCAAAAATCATGATGAGAATGTGCTAATGCAAAGTTATTAAATTGAATTGAGTGAGCAATTGATAAAGGATTGAATTGGTGAAAAAATGGTGACTGTATGCAATGCCATTCTCGAAATATCGAGGTTCAAAGTTTTTAGGTAAATGGCCGAAATCCAGAGAACTATCTATAAATAGAAAAAATTATTCAATCCATCATGTTCACAACAACTTTCATGCTCGAATAATAAGTTTCAGCTTGCTAACTGATACGGTCACTGAGATAGATCGGTTTAAGTAAAAATCGAACTTATGTGCTTTATTTTGGACAGAAAACTTTATTTCTAAAAATAAGTGCATTTTCTGGTTGATCATTGAAAGTTAGCCCTGGGAAATGAGTTTCATGAAAAAAATCTCATTCCGTATTTGCACAAAAGGCGATCGAAGTTTCAACTTTGACCTCGATTTTCTCGAAAACTGTCTATCGGATGAACTATTTATTAGCACCAATAGACTCAGTTTTTATTTCCCTACAAACTAATCCAAGTTTCAACTCTTTACTCAAATGATCGAGTCTCTGGCAGCATTCTTTGCATTGCATTTGCAAGTAAAACCAGAAAAATGGTTTATTTACCAAGATATTGGTTAATATGAGTTTGTTTTGTTGAATGAGTTATTGCTTTTGCATTTACAGCCCAACAATCAAGACCAGAATGTTCTAATGCAAAGTTATTAAATCCGATTGAGTGTTTAATTAGTACATGATTAAATTGGTGAAAGATTGATGACTGTAGGTAATGCCATTCTCGAAATATTGGGGCTAAAAGTTTTAAAGTAAATGGCCAAAATCAAGAGAACTATCGATAAGAAGAAAAAATTATTCAATCCATGATATTTACTAACTATTTTCATCTTACAATAATAAGTTTCAGCTCTTATATTCTTGCGGTCATAGAATGCTGAAGGTTTAAATGAAAATCGAACTTGATCGGTTTTAACGAAAAAGAAAATTTTATTTCTAAAAATAGGTTAATTTTCTGGTTCATAATAAAAAGTTACAAGAGAAGAATAATTTTCATGAAAAGTTCTGCTTCCATAATTGCACAAAATGCGATCGAAGTTTCAACTTCGGAATAGCTTTTCTCGAAAACTGTTCATCGAAGAAGTTTTTGCATTGCATAAATCGACTCAGCTTTCATTTTCCTACAAACTAACAGAACCCAAATTTGAAAGAAATTAACTTTTGACCCGCTTTTGCCCATTTCAGTATTTGTGTCAATTTGTGCATAAATAAGACAATTGTCTTAGAGAAACTTTTAAATTGCCCAAATGGACTCAGTTTTTATGTCTCTTTATTTCGTAAATATTCGCAATCGTCACTTTATCATGAAAGCATAAAACCACTTGCAAAGCAAATCAAATGGTTAAAAATTGAAATGAAAAATTCAATTTAATTTTAGTCTTTTGTCTTTTCATTGAAAAGCCAATTTAAAGGAATCATGAGGAATGCTAATCAATTTAATTTGTGAGGCACCACGGGATGTTAAGGTTGAGGTGTTCACAAAGTGATGGTTAATCAACTAAATTATAACTATAATCAATATTCAATGAGAATTACTTTTATTAGCACAATTAAGGAAAGAACTTATTTGTGAGCAATGCTCTCAAACATTAATTAACAATTACAATTTAAAGCTGAAATAACACATGAAGAGTAAGAGTGAATACTTTGATTTAAATACTGTTTTAAAGAGGAAAAGGAAAAGAGAAAAGATGAATGAAAAAAGCTAAGGGAACAACAATTAATTACAAACTGTGAGAGAGAAAGAGACAAAGTTAGAGTAGACCCCTTACAGATGCCCCCACTTGATTCGGTACACGGACTTTCGAGTTAAGTTCGAGGACGAAGTAGATATGAGAACTTTGTCTCGTTAAACTTGTATGGAATCGGCCTTGGTTCAGGTTCTGCGTAGACAAAATCCGTTGGATCATAAGTTAGGTTTGCTAACTTCTTTTCGCGTTTTTCTTTGGACATGTAAGCGTACATTGCTGTAGTTTTCTTTATTGCTAATGGCCAATCTCCGATGTATCCCATTATATCCTTGATTAATCCAGACATTAAATAATTTTTTGGGTAAATGTAGCCATAATATTGTAAATGAATCTTGATTGGACTATTTTTGATGATTTCCGAATGAGTTTTTTCAATCCTTTCGTAGTCGACTAGATATAAATACATTGTTCCAGCTGCATCGAGTATTGATGAATGTTCACGACTTTGAGTAATTCGACCAAATAATGTAAATAAGCAGTATCTTAACCCAAGTTGTTGATTGTTTGCTCTTGCATTGTAATATGATGAGACGCAAATGATTCTTTTCAATAGATAATTGTGATCGATTGGGTTTATCATGAGTGCTTTGAAATCTTGAACTTGACCAGAAACTATGATTCTTTTATATTTGCGTAAAATTGTGATGACTTCTTGTCTGACTTTGAGAAACACAGGTGCATTTTTCATTTCATTCCAAGTTAATCCATGATGCTCAGTGAGAAAACTTTCAATTGCACTTTTTGGATGTCGAATGAATTC